CAGCACTTTGGGAGGCCGAGGCAAGTGGATTGCCTGAGCCTGCGGGTTTGAGACCAGCCCCAGCAACTTGGCGAGACCTCATCTCTACAATAAATAAAAAATTAGCCGGGTGTGGTAGCGCACGCCTGTAATTCTGGCTCCTTGGAAGGCTGAGGGGGAAGGATAGCTGGAGCCCAGCAGGTCGATGCTGGGGTGGAGTGAGGTGCCACTGCACTCCAGCCTGGACGATGGAGTGAGATTCCAACTCAAAAAAAAAAAGTTACAAGTAAACTGATAATAATTTTCTCAATAGCAATAATGAATACCAGAAATGTGAATATCTTTAATAGGTTAACCAATAACCATGTATACAGCAAGACCACCTTCCAACATAATCAACAAGGGAAAGATAATTGTAAGTAAAAACTGGGTAAGCTAATCACCAAAAAAGAACAATAAGTAAACTGATTCTAGTAGAAATGTGTGATATGATCATCGAAAATAAAATTGTTAAAACTGTAGATAAATCAAAATGCACTTGTATATGTGAAATATTAATTATAGTGTTCTGATTTGTTGGATTATTTTTCTTATATAGAATAAAGCTAAAACACTGGATAATAACTTGAGAGTTTGTAGATAAGAGATCAAGATTAAAGTTTCCTAAGGCCCATTGTATCCTTAGAAAGGTGAATTAAGATATTGATCCATTTTAGATATTTCTGAGCTGAATATGTTAAATTTTGAGAATAAAAGCATAGGTATGGAATATAACATTCCAACTGGTAGAGAGGAAAACAGAATAAGAAAGCAAACAAAGATTTAATCAAAAGAGCCGAGGGAGGAGCAAAACAGAGAAATCAATTCAAATAGCACAGTTAGCAGAAAAAGGTTCATAGTATCAACAGAGACAATAGAAAAAAAATAAAGACTTTAAAGCAGAAGCGATATCCCTACAAGAAAAAGTCTCAATTCATTAAGATGATATAACAATTCTATATGCATGTCATAAAATTGCTCAAAATATATAAAACAATGAATGATAAAATTTCCTGAACCAACTTCACAGATTTCAATACTGCTCCCTCATTTGACAGGACACAAAAACACACACACTTTATAGATGTTATGAAGTTATCAGATATTTTCCTTATATAGTATTCCCCTCACTTTTTCATTCCTACCCAGTAGCCTGATTCCTAGTCTTCTCAAGTCCTTAATATTGATCAAAATAAGAAAGTATACAGAGTAAGAGTCTAATGAAGCCCTCATTTTTCAAATATTAAGAATACCTACCATATCCTGGACACTATGCTAGATGTCTGGAAACAAAACAAATAACAGGTATGGCTTCCCCTTTCTTGTTGTTTTCCTGTGAGTCCTTGGGCATTTTATTTAGCTTATATTCATACTTACAAAAATACAGTCTTGGTACAAAGATTAAGATGATGTATGTAACAAATATGTCAGTCTAAAATAAGAGCTTAATAAATGATAAGTATAAAATGGATTTTTAAATGTTCTTTCTGAAGTCAGTATCGATCTTTATCATTTTATTTTAAATCAGTTTGGGATGTAGCAGCAGAAATATGGAAAAAAGTACACAAACTACTATTTTCTAAAACTAAAGCTAATATTAGGACTTCTCATGGTAGAACTCTTTATTGAGTTGTTTCTTGAAAAATGACTTTAATATAACTGACAGAAGGAATCATCTTTATTATTGCAATAATGGCAAATGTAAACTAAAAGAAGGTCTACATGGATTAGAACTAGAGAAAGGAATCAGACTACAGAGAAAAAGAATTTGCTAGTGTTCACCCAAGATTATCTAGAAAACTGTTCTTTCTATTGGAATAGTACCCCCAAGTTCTACCAAAAGAAAAGAAAATTTCTACAAAATTATACAACTCTGCTCTAATTCCATTCTGAAATTAAAAAAGTAACTTTCTAAATATCAACTTCTTCCAAAACAAAAATTTCCTACTGGCTAACCCAGATGTGATAAAAATATGCTGATTGCTGGAAAATTATATTCTCCTAATAAAATTTTTTTTAAAATGCTCTTAAGTTTGGTTATTGGGAATCATTCTGCCAGTTGTGTAATACTCAGGTAGATTAACACGATTAGGTTCACACACAAAACAAATAATCTAAACTGGCTCCATAAGGCAGTCACCAAGGGAAAAATAAGGAAGTGTAACTGTTTTAGTTTCTAACACTTTATTTAACATAAAAGGCAACAGTAGCACCATGGTTGTGATTTATTAACTTTGTTAATGGCATAGGAGGCACAAAAACCTGGGTCATCTAATTAAGAAGTTTGTTTTGATTCTTTTACCATCAAATGTTAAATTAACATCCAAAGGCATATATTTGTATTTACCATGTGTTAAACATTTCTCTGTGAATCAATGCTTTAAATAAACATACTGCATGGTCATCCATTCTCGGGGTAGCAATTTGCAGAAATGAGAAACACACTTTCTGAATTACAATTTCAATGCATTTGAGGCTGGCTAATTGGTTTGAACAGTAAGTTAAGAAGGTCAAAGTTCAGGGCTTAAAATTGAAATAGGCCAGTTAGCTTTTCAAACCAACATTTCTGACACTCCCACAAGTTGGTTAAAGAAAACTCCTCACTATTAAGGAAAAAAAAAAAAACTAGAAAAATAAACCATGCTGATAGAAACAAGGCATCTCCGTACTTTAAAGTTCCTTTTTCTTTGAAAAATACATATATTTTCGGCATTCTTAGAAAGCAAACTATTGCTAATGTCATGGCTTTAAAGTACAGTACTTTCAATAACCTCCTCTTTCCAGAAAATCCATGGCACTACGAGCCAGTGATTTTGCATATTTACAATTGTGTAATAAGCCACTTAAAACTTATCATACTTTGGACACATTACAGTATAGGAGATTTGGTGAGCGCACTGAAGCTTTCATGTGGAAAACTATACAGTCAAGTCATTAATTAATAACAGAGCTTTGCCCATAGTGAAATGGGGCCTGTGCTGAGACCTAAAACTTGTCTTTTCCTCCACGAAGTATCACGCACCGCTCCGAAGAGCTAACCACAGGTCGGTCCAGACGCTGAGGCCGGGGACTTCGAAATCTCCATCCTGCGCCTTATGGGACTCCAGAACAGTCAGAACTTCATCTTTCAGAGGGGGAGGGGCCCGGCAGAGGCTGTGAAACCTGTGGTACAACTCCTCCCAGGGCACGTCTTGGGACTCAGCTCCCACCCACACGCCTGTCTGCAGGTCATAGTGCAGACGTCCACCCCAGTCGGTCAGCAGATCTAGGTAGGCTCGACACAGCTCTGGGTGGCGGCTCGCCACCGAAGTTAAAAGCTCTACGGGGAGGTCGCGGCCAAAGGCAGCCATGACCTCCGACCTGCCCAGAAGCCAACGCACCAGCTCGTGCCTCCCCTCTCCAGGAGCCAGGGGGCCGCCCGGTGCCGGCTCTTCTTCCTGGGGCCGGGGGGCCGGGGGCGGCAGCAACAGCGCCGCCGCGGCCACCACCTTCAGGAAGCCGTCCCGGGGCAGGCGCTCCCACAGGCCGCTGAGCCACCTGCCGGGCGCCTCCGCGTCGTCCCTGCCCGCCTCCTGCAGACGCTGCAGCAGCACCTCCGCCAGGGTCCTCACCAGGGCGTCCTCGTGCACACCCCGGTCCTCTCCGTGGCCGCAGGAGCGCAGCAGGTGGACGGCGCACCGCCGGCGGCCCAGGCGGGCCAGGCGGTCTTGCAGCGTCTCCTCCTCGGCCTCCTGGCCGCCCGGGCCCGGGAAGAGCTGCTGCAGCAGGTGGCGGCGCGCGGCGTCCCCGAGCGCCCGGTTCCCCAGCAGGCGCAGCGACAGCAGGACGTCACAGTGCCCGAGGGCCTGGAAGCTCGCGAAGCCCGGGGCCGGACCGGGCCCGGCGTCGCCCTCCCGCCTCCACGGGGGGTGCAGCCGCCGCTCCAAAGCCGTGCGGATGCGGCCGTGGCTACCAAAGCGCCGGTGGACGTGGCGCAGGTAGCGAGCCCACTGCAGGGCCCTGCGCACGGCGGTGGGGCCCCAGGTGCTCACGTGCGTCGTGCCGGCGACCGCCAGCACCTCGGAGAAGCGCTCCAGGTGCTGGACCAGCGGCTCCATGGCGCGCGCCGAGGCCTTACTTCCGCTTTCACCTTGGCGACAGCTACTCTCTGCGTGCCGATTGGGGCGTCCGTGAAAGGACACGCCCCTCTGCAATGCTATTGGCCGGGGTGCCTGTCGATCTCACAGAGGCTCGATCCGGGTTCTTCGACTCCGGGAAACTTGAACTAGAGAAAAGTCCTGACCGGTTAACTTCCGCCCCAGGAGTGAGAAGCTTCTGAGTGCTGGGCGTCCTGGAGTGATTCTCCGAGACGCCTGCCAGGGGAGGCCGGTTATGACTGTCTCTGCTTCCTTTTGATGCAGAGACCCGCTAATGCCCATCCATATTGTCATAGCCCCTAGGGAAGGGCGTAGCAAGGGTTCAGGTGCTCCAGCAATGCAATCCTGAGCATGTCATGAGAGTCCCCTTGTTGCCCATGCATTCCCAGTAAGTAGCTTCAGGGGATCCTTGACTTCCCTGGAGACTATGTCCATCAACTGAAAAATGCAAATCCCCATTTACTCCCCTTTTCTGAGTGGTTATAAGTTTGAATAATATACTATCCATGTAATCGTAAGCCTTATGACTTGTATAACTTTTGTATCAGTGTAATCATAAGTTTTGTGATTTGTATAAATTTTGCATGATGCATGATGTCCTCGACCTTGTAAACTCCCTTTGGTCTGTGGCATGTTTGCTTAAGGCTTCTGCGGGCCCTACTGACAAAAGCTATGAGATACCCTCTGATACCTGGCACCAGGTAGTCTAGATGAATAATGTCACTATTGATAAATGTTGCTGAAACGCAAGTTCTGTATAATGCTCCGCTGGTCACGTGGCTAATGTATAGGTACTAACAACTCTGGATTTATAAAAGTGAACTGTAGGCTGGGTGCGGTGGCTCAGCCTGTAATCCCAGCACTTTGGGAGGTAAGGCGAGTGGATTGCCTGAGCCTGCAGGTTTGAGACCAGTTCCAGCAACTTGGCGAGACCTCATCTCTACAGTAAATAAAAAAATTAGCCAGGCGTGGTTGTGGGCGCCTATAATTCCGGCTACTTTGAAGGCAGAGGCGGAAGGATCAGTAGAGCCCAGCAGGTCAACACTGGGATGGCAGTGAGCGTGTCACTGCACTCCAGCTTGGAGACAGAGTGAGACTCCAACTCAAAAAAAAAAGAACCGTAAAAGCCTGAAATGCTGGAATGTAAGCAGAACCATCATAGGATGACCTCAAGTCCAGGGGATCCCTGGATTCGAACTCAGAAATAAACTTTCTACCAGTTCACTGCCTCTTGATTTGTCGGTCCCAAGGGTGAGCAGCTGAATGTTACTCACTTTTCACTTTGGAAGGATCCCTAAATGGAAGTTTTCTGAGCTCTGCCTAAAAGGAAGATCTGTGCTGAGTTTTATCATGATTAGGTGCTGTTAAGGCGCATGGATTCAATGAGATTGTAAGATAAATTCAATTTGGGAAAAAATATGCTAACCTCCGATTTATTAATGCCATGCCCTCTTCCAAATTTTAGGCCTTAATATGGTACTTCCACTTTTAGAACTGAAGCCCAGATGAATCGAAACAAAAAAATTAACTTCAGGATTCATAAGTTATTGAGATTTGCAAAATAGCTAACAGTTCTATTTCAAAATGGCACTCTTTTTTTTCCCATAATTTTCAAACCAAAATAGCTAAACTGACCCATATTGCACACAAATAATTGACTTTTTAAAAAATGCCATTTAAGAGCATATAACAGTAACATGTTTAAGACTACAGGAAGCTCCTGTCATGCCTGTAATCAGCCCTGGAGATCAATGGGGTGACAGATGTAGCAGCCAGGTAGTCCTCACATCCTCGTGCCTTGATCATAGCATTTTAGGACACCAAGAGGAGAGGAGTTGCTTGAGCCCTTTAGTTTGAGACCAGCCTGGGAAAATTAGTTAGATCTCAATTCTTTGAAAAAAATCAAAAGATTCGGGATGTGGTAACGTGATCCTAAAATTCCAGCTACTTGAGAGGTTGAGGTGGAAGAATTGCCTTAGCCAAGACTCCAACTCAAAATAATAATAATAATAATTACAGAAAGAGGAAAGGGAGGAAGAAGAATAAGAACCCTTTTCTTGAAAATCATCTAGATTATTCACTCATTGGTGCATTTAACAAATATTTATTTGCCAGTTCCTAGGTAATGCATTGTCTACAAACCCACAATTTCTAATTTACTGAAGTTGATGATATAACTCATTTGAAGCTGAATTTCTTTCCAGTTCTAAAAACACTAGCCAAAACTATTCTAAGAAGTAGGCAAAGGGTACTTTGCTTGTTCCTTTGTTTTCTAACAAGAAAGGAAAAGAAACAAACTTACAAGAGGGAACAGTCACGTTTTATTTATTAAAATAAGCATCCCCTAGCCTAGCCGCGCTGGGTGGCTCAGCCTATAATCCCGCGCTTTGGAAGGCTGAGGTGAGTGAATTGCCTGAGCCCGTGGGTTTGAGACCTGCCTGGGCAACTTGGCAAAACCTCATCTCTACAATAAAATCAAAAAACTAGCCGGGCATGGTAGCGCGCACTTGTAGTTCCAGCTACTTGGAAGGCGGCGGCGGAAGGATCGCCGGAGCCCAGCAGGTCCAGGCTGCGGTGGCCGGCAGCAGCCACTGCACTCCAGTCTGGGCGACAGAGTGAGACTCTAACTCAAAAATAAATAAATAAATAAAATAAAATAAAATAAAATAAAATAAAATAAAATAAAATAAAATAAGCATGCCCATACCTTTTAGAAAACAAAGCAGCATGGCTCGTGCTGTTAATTCAGTTTTATTTTTTGACTTCTATTAGCCCAAACTCGTATTTGGTTCTGAAGTAGTTATTTTATTTTGAAGGTATTGCCAATCTTAAAATTCTTTCTCTTGGCTACTAGAAATCTAAAGCCAAATGTGCAGCCTACCTTTTGCAAATGTGTAGGCATCAATTCATTTACTTATTATTTGTATTTATTCTTATATTGAACATCTATGTCACATAGTGTGAGATGTTATGGATTTAGTGGTAAATACAATAAATATAGTTCTTGCTCTAGTGAAGAAGTTAATATACTATTTAAGACAGACATTAAACTAATAACCTAAAATGTGATGGGAGGACATCATGAAGTAGGGTCACCAAGTCCTAGGTGATAGGAAGGTCTTTTCAACAAACTGCCTTTTCAACTGAAAGCTTGAAAATGAGTGCTGAGGTTGGGCTCAGTGACTCAGCCTGTAATTCCAGCACTTTGGGAGGCCAAGGTGAGTGGATTGCCTGAGCCCCCAGGTTGGAGACCAGCCCGAGAAACTTGGCAAGACCTCGTCTCTATAATAAATAAAAAAATTAGCTGGGCATGATAGCGCATGTCTGTAGTTCCAGCTACTTGGAAGGCTGAGGGGGAAGGATCGCCAGAGCCTAGCAGGTTGAGGCTGTGGTGGCCGGGAGCATGCCACTGCACTCCAGTCTGGGCAACAGAGTGAGACTCCAACTCAAAAAGAAAAGAAAAGAAAAGAAAAGAAGTGTTGATATTCAAGGCCACAGGAACCATTATTATTATTGTTGTTATTATTATTATTTTCAGGCACCTAAGCTGAGAGAAGCAGGCCTATTCAAGGAGGTGAAAAAAGTCCAAAAAAACTTAGACTCAAGATCAGGATGAAAATATATGGCAAGAATTGTGCAAATTAGTTCCTTCAGCTTCATACCTTTCTGTTTATCTGTTTAAGATTTGATTTCATTTTAAATTTTTCCTTGAACATTATCATTTATACATACCTACATATTTCTGATGAATCTATTTTCACCAAATAAACACAATGTCTATGCAGGTTTCCATTTTAGAAGAAGGAGAAACTTAGAGTCTGGAGTTTCTCCTCATTCCAATTAATTTAACAAAATTTAGTGAGCATTTATTAAGTTCCCACTATAAGAAAAGTACTAGGGATTGAAAGATGATTATGACAAGATTTTGCATTTCAATAAACCTACATTCTTAAGCCAAGGGGTGGGAAGAAACACAAAACAATTATAATGTAAATCAGATTTTATGTGCTTAAAAAATTTTAAGATTGATGCTGTAAGATACTAGAAATAAGCTGACAGGAGAGTTCTGGCTGGACTTTACACAGGACTGATGCTTGGTTTAGGACATCAAAGTGTTTGAAGGAAACAAAGGAAAATCAAGGTAAGAGAAATAACATAAGTCAAACACAGAGTATGAATGTGTGTCCTATGTACCGTGAATACCAGGCCAATCTCCCACCTCTTGGTTATGATCCCTGAATTCTTGGGAGACAGTAAATTGGGACAGAAAATAAAAAGCCAAATTTCAGGAGATTTTATTAAAATAAGATGTCTGGGCATTTTCTGGCTACTTGGAAGACTGAGGCAGAAGGATCACTGGAGCCCAGCAGGTCAACACTGGGTTGGCTGTGAGTGTGCCACTGCACTCTAGCTTGGGCGACAGAGTGAGACTCCAACTCAAAAAAAAAAAAAAGCTGTCATTCAGACAATGGGAGTTAAGCAACATGAACAACTAAGGATCAGAAAAAGAGGCTTTTGCAAATAACCTGCCTCATAGTGCCCTGGTAAAGATTAAATGAAAGAATAAATAAAATGCCAGAGTGAATATTGTGGCTATCTTTTAATATCCATTCTACCACCCTCCCCACCCCCATTACATAATCATCATGCAATTTGGGAAACTGCCTGCAACTCAGCTCATTTATGGGGTCTTATTGTTTTGAGCCAATCATGTTAATTCACCCCCTCTTGATTTAATAATTAATTTAGGACCTTAGCCTTACACCTAGCAATGCATAGCACTCCCTCACGCCAGAAGTTTGTTCCAAAATGACTGGATGAATCATTTCCAATTAGTCCTAGAGAATTCCGAAAAAACTTTTTTTATTTTGCTTTCTTCCTTGAGTCAGTATATGAACAAATTAAACCTGTTTAGAATTGTGTAATTCTCTATATATTCCCAATTGATTTTTTTGACAGTC